TTCAAGGAATTCACCCTGATAAAAATTTGAAGTGGAGTAGTTGGCGAAATAAAGTTCTTGAAATCGCGTGGACATTTACAAGCAACCTTTGAGAAATTATCCCGGGGAATTTTTCAGCATTTTTCCACGCGACAACGTGAACGAATAAAGATGACTTTCGTAATCGAAGCGGAACGTAGCGGCGAGATCGTCGTTAAATTTTTCTCTTTGGCTCCGATATACGGACTGGTGATTTTGTGATTTTTTGCCGGGGGTCTGGAATCGGATCAGGATGTTTGTAATTGGATGAAAAAAAACACGCGTGTATACGAGAGAGAGAGAGAGAGAGAGAGAGGGGAAAAATGCGGAAAGGAACGAAATCCATTCGCATTTGTCGAACTGAAATTTCGAGTAATGCCGCGCGCGTTTTTGGTTCTGCACTTTTGACGTTTCACGAGCTTTTCAGCAGCGACCAGCGATTTTCAATGGGATTGTCCTGCGGGAAGAGCGACTTCAAAGGGAGCAGCATTCGTAAATTGAGCAGAGTCCGTTGAAATATCCTTTTTGCTTTACCTGTGTGTACGTGTGCGTGTTTTTTCCCCCGATACGCGTACAGACGCGTGAATGCAAAATACTTGTTTTTTCGCAATCTCGGACAGGCTCGGTTTATCGAAATTTATTTATTACCAGCCACTATCCGCAGCTTTGTTAATTTATTTGCCCGTCCAACGATAGAACCGAGCGACGATAAATAATTTTTTCAACATTTTCCTGGGCAAGAAAATCAAAGAAAATCATCCCCTCGCGAAGGCGTCGACTATAAATGCCAAATTTCGGGTTCTCGATGTTAAAATAAACCGGCACAACGAAGAGGAGGGGGGGTGGAAGCTCAAACGGAGTCCCAAAGGCAAACGATAGAACGGGAGAGTTCTATCTGCATAAAAATTCAAGCGTTTCCGGGGTTCAAAGTCGGAAGGAAATCCGTGCTCCACGAAATGTTAGGTGAAAGCTTTTCATACTTGGAGGATCGCGTAATGCGGAAAGGCCGATCCATCAGCGACCGGTTCAGCGCCGAATAGAAACGAAAGGATTGTTCTGGGATGCTGTTTGATCGTTCTCGAGCGTCTTGCGACTAGGTTTTCTTTCCCTCCTCGGTGTTTTTTACCGTATCGAGCCCCAAGAGAGGATTCCCTGTGCCACGGGACTCCAGTTCCCCAGATTTGTCGGCGCAGCAAGATGGATAGACTTGTCCACGGCACGCTTTTCCGCGCCGCGTCCTTATTGGCCCCCTGCCACCCACCCCCGGTTTATTTCGTCACTGCACACGCGATCACGGTTTTTTCCAGGGCTGATACGAGCCACACGGGATGGATATCGAGTACGAATCGAAAGTGCGTCCGGTTTTCAGCGATCGCTCGCGTTTTCTCTCCCCCACCAGCCGCGAAGACGGAACAACCGACGACTACTTTTTACAGTCTTCTACGAATCGGTCGAGTGGCTGAAAGATTGAATTATTTACCGACACGAACGACCGTTTCGTTACGATCGGTCACGAATCTGATTTCATTCCATTTTTGTTCGAACAAAACAGATCGCGTCTCCGCTTTTAATTGAGAACGGCTCGAAAAATCAATGATTCTCCTTTTCGTAACTATCGGATAACCTTTTGCGCCTCGAACGAGGATAATTTGAACATTTTCAAAGCTGGAATTCAAACGGAAATTCCACCTTTTCGAGGGAAACATTCCCTGCATATTCAAGCATGGGGGGAAAAATTGGTAAATATAGATATTATTCTAGTTGCCACTATAGGTGTAGCATAAAGGAAATTTTTCTCCATTTATTCTTCTCGCCGTTTCGAAAAATGCAGTTTCGAGTGACAGGCGTTCGCATTTCGACCGACGTGCGTTCGAACCACGTTGTTTTTACCTGTTTCCCTTTATGGGTCGTTGCTATTCAAACTTTTACAACATTGTCGAAAATAGAATAGAAAATACGTCGAAACAAACGAAATCAGAGTTATCGAATCGCTTGCTTAACCAATTAATCCTCGAACTGACACGTAATCGGAAGAAATTATTTCTTTGTTGCTTTCACGCATCCAGGAACTAATTAATCGTAAAAGTAAATAATAGAATACCGCACGTTCCCAGAAGAAAACATTACGCGATCGTCTCGTAACTCTTCCGCAAAGAACTTCGCGAAGAATTCTTTTACTAGATCGTAGATCGTTTAATATAGTAGGCTTCCTGAAACTTAATTTTGTCCAACTGTTGATAATTTAAAGAACAAGTATTCGACGCTGTTTCCCCAACGTTCTTCGGGCTCTTCGAAGATTCGATCTGCTTTCGAGGGCGGTGTTGGCCCGAGGCTTAGATCGCAGATTAGTCGAGGCGTTGTTGGACTCCGCTTTAAACAACGCACGATTATTAACGAAACAGAGTATCGAGACGATCGGGAATTCCGTTTTCTTTTTCACGGCGGAGGGCTTACCGGTTTTCCACGCTCCGTTTCAGGCCGTTCCTTATTTTATTCCTTTTTATTCGTTCCCCGATGCTCGCGACTATCGGTGTACGAGGAAACATCCGAAAAGATGAGTTTCGCCGGTGTCCCATCCTATGCAAACATTCCGGTTATTTGTACAGCGTTTCGCATCTCAATGGAAACGTTATTCCGTTTCGAAATAATTTTACTTGGTAATACGATTTTCTGTTTACCCCGCTTTCTTTTCTGCAACGAAACTGTGCATGTAATTTTACGCTCTCCGCGATCGTCTCCCCACGAAAATTATTTTTTAAACGACCGCGTGACGGCCACCGTTTCCTCTTCGTAGTTAAAACAGAACGATTGCCAGATCTCGGTAGATTCTTAGGCACCTTGCTTTGCGTTTGGACTCGTTAAGCCCATCAAATATACAAAGTTAATTCCCGCGATTAAGTAAAAAAAGATGTTATCCGGACCAGGTATTCGAAATCCGAGGCGTTCCTCACATAAAACGCTAACTCAACGATTCCCCGTGCAAGTTATCTCGAGAACTCCATCTAAATGCAGTCTCGACGCATAGAATATAGACTAGTCTATAATCTGGGTCTAGCTTAGAGTGAAATAGGATCAGTGGGCTCCCGCGAAGAGACTCTTGGATGCATCCGGCGGAGAAGAAACGACGGACGGGTAATTTTCAAGCGGGAATTACGCATTCGTCGTTAGCGGACTCTAGGACCCCGGGCCTGCCGGTAAACGCGGCAGAAACCGTGGAGGAACACGCGAGGAGGCACGTTCGTGCCACGGAAATCCCGAAGCTCCTCGAGAAGCGCGAGCCAAAGCCGCCGTAAAGTACATATCCTTGCAGTTAGAGCCGAGCATCGGGGGGATCTTTGCATGAGGCGGATCACCGTCGTCGTACAACCTACGCGGAGGTGGCTGCAGATAAGAGGAGGAGGAGGGACAGAGGGGGGCCCGGGAGGGAGGATGAAAAACGAAAAACAGGACGGGGCAAGGGTATACCTGTAGGTAGCCAAGCCTGGAGAAAGGCTGGAAGAGTCGAGAGTCCACCTTAGCGGGAGGAAAGAACGACCAAGAGAAAAGAAACGGTCACCCGGTGCAAAATTTTTACTTTCCACTCTCTTGAACGATTTCCAATACAATGTTTCGTCGTATGAAATCGTTCATTCTTCGTTCGAGACGTGGACGGAAACATAGACGTTGTTAGACCTTGTTTCTTCGTTCTATCAGGAGTTATTAGGTTCGAACGTTTTGAAAATATCACGAGGGGGAGGAAAAAAGAAGGGAACGTAGGACCGAAGAGATCTCTAGAAGAGTAGGAAGAAGAATGTGTGTTTCGATAGAGCAAATTACAGTCCTTCTTGCAATCTCGACCGATGACAATTATGGACTACTGTTACGACGAGCGAGACATCATCTGTACCCTGAAAGAACCTAACTGCATGAAAATATTCCGAGTTAAACTGTAAATTAGACGCGTATCAACGTTTGAAAATTTCATTTGCATTATCACGAAGCGTGACAGCTGAGGAAAGTGGAGGTTTCGAGGGTCGAAGGACTCGGTAAAAATGTCCGTCTGGTCGTTTATCTATTTATTCGTCGGAAAAAAGGAGCAGCCGGTGCAGGAGTAAAAATGCTCACGGATCAGAAGAGAAAATCACATGCTCGCAGGGAGGAAGAGGCAGGCGGAGAGAAGAAGAACGGGTACTTAAGCGTGCCTGGAGCGGAAGAGGCGAATAAAGCGCGGTAAGAAGTCCGGGGAAAAGAAGAGAGAACAAGGTGAACGCGAAGTCTACTTAGCGGCGAAGAAGATAATTACGAAAACGAGCAACGCGAATCGTCCACCGAGCAAGTGTCGCGTTATTTGCGGAAAACGAGGGGAAAAATGAACGCGGTTTTCCATCTTTATTTTATGTTTTACGATTGCCCGGTGAACGCCGAGAAGGTCGAGCGGGCGAAAGGTAAAATTTGCAGCGATTCGTTCGAACGGAAGATGGTACCGGATTTCGTGGACGAAGGAACGAAGGAAGATGGCGAGGAGGAGGAAGTGAGTCGGCGGAGTCGAGGAAACGAGCAAGAGAGCGGTGTGTAGAGGTCGTGGAGGAAGACGGTGTACCGGAGAACGAAGTGGAAGAAGAGGAAGAGGAAAGAAGGGAGCCAAGGTAAAAGGGAGACGTGCGAGAGAGGTGGCGAGGGGACCGAGGTCTGGGTTGGGTAAGGTGAGGGCTCCTACGGGTGAGTACCACTCACTTCATTGACTCGTGCGTACGCCCGCACGTCTGTCAGTCCATCCTCACTCACTCGATCCTCGGCTACGGCCTCGCAGCCGTTCTCTGCGTAGTCCGGTTCTCTCCTTGGAGCTCCACGGATAATCCCCGTCCACGTAGTGCACGACCTACGGCGAGTCGAGGTCGACCGAAACGACGACCGCCCAACGACCGTGCCACCGCGATATATATCGTTCTCGTTTCGAGGCTCTCGAGCGGCTGTGGAACCTGCCCGCCACCGGGTCGAGCAGGATGACCCTGGCCGGTCTGGGAAGGATCCTCGCGGTCCTGGCGCTGCTGCTCGTGGAAACCTCCTGGACGAGGGCCAAGCCTCAGCAGATCAAACCAGGTGAGCGTTTTTCACACTCCCCGGGACCAGAATCTCACGGAAACACGATCTCTCCAACGTAGAAAATAGGGAATTCGATTCCTTCGCCATTGTCTCGTTTCGTTTTTATCGAGACGACGCCATAATTGCAGAGGATTCGTAACGAGCGAAGAATTTCTCTTCCCTCGTTACGGTTCAGAGTTTATCGACGCGGATCTAGCGGCTGGAAAAAACGACGCCATTGTCGGGGAGGCGTATCGACAGGCTTCCGAGGAAAGTTCGCGATCGACGAAACGCTTTTTTAACCCACGTGCTCCGGAAACCATTGTCTTTCCGGCAAAATGACACTCGATCGAGATCCGCGTAACGTCCGAAGCACAGTTTGAGAGACCCTGGTCCGCGACATGCGACTTTGTATCGGCGAAAACGATGAAACGAGAGCGGGGCAAAGAGCAGCGAGGATCGTTTGTTGCGCAATGGGTCGGGGCCAGGGTGAACGCACCGATGGACACACACCAGAATTCGTTCGGAGTGCGCGATCGATCGGGATCGTGATCGTGATCGATCACGCGGACCCGGCCGTTGTCAGGATCCACCGTTTCGATTTTGATCTCCCCGCGTACGAGAAAGCGTTCGTTTAATTTATGCAAATTTATTTAAACGGATTCTGTGCGTGTCGCGACTCGTCCGACGCGAATTACGCGTATCTTCTTTCTCGCTTTCGTACGCCGCCGAATCGGGACTCGCGTGTTCCACGACCTCCTAATGCAATGTTTTCCAAACCAGTTAACGACCGTGGGAGTACGCCGGCAATAATTGTCGCTTATTATACGGGACCCGCGATGTAACAGTCTCGACGACTTTTTCTTTTTTAAAAAAGTGTTACGCGAATCGATCAAGCATTACGATTCTAAATTAAATTCCACGGGGATTTCGTTTAATTTCTCGTTATCGAAGGAGAAAGGTGCGTGTACATTTAGGACTTTCTTGACCCTGAAAGGTCCGTTCGAGGCTACGTGACCAAGCTCGCGTCCACGACTTCCCAAACGTTCGATAAGACCACCGAAACCACTGTTCGGGCCGCGAATCGGCCGCGTTCGGGTTCGTATTGCTTAAAAGTAACGCGTGTACCGAAATTTGCGTCACGTTTGAGCGTTTCGGTTCTCGTTTAACGATCTGTCTGGCCCGGGCTCAGGGCTGAATCGTCATTTAAGCGCTGAACCGGGGGGAGGGGGACGCCGTGTGCAGTTAAGTACCACGGACGTCCAAGAATAGTTGGCGCAACGATAGGAACGGGCGCTTAGAGTTTACGTTCCTTGGTACACCGTGAGCTTCTGGCGTTACGGCCGCTGTAAATGTCTAAGAACTTTAGCTGTTTCGGTTAAAGCACGTATATCCCTTTCTCGATGGGAAATTATTGTCTTGTCCCGGGGTCTGGTCCCTGCGTCAAAGTTACCCGGGTTATAGAAATATCGCGAGCGTTCGCGTTCCATCCAACGGAAGGGCGAAACTGCTTTTGGGGGAGGGGAACGCTGGTCGAAAAACTTCCACCGTGCAAGTTGTTTCCGGAACCGGTATCGCGGAACTTTTAGGATTATTCATTTTTCGGGGAAGAATATGAGTCGTATCCAGAAGTTTCCCCCAACAGATTTACTGCACTCGCGTAAACAGCGTTCTCGGCTGGTTTCCATCTTTGGCGATACCGCGGTCTGGCGACTTCACGGACGCAAAGTCGGTTATTGTTTCCATGTACCCTGTAATTATCGATAAAATCATTCCAAAGGGATGGTTCCAGCGTCGATGGTCGATGTGTCCGGACATCGGAGTACATATTTTTTGTTAACGAGTATATTTGTCCGAGGTGACAGTTTTCCCGCGTTTGGCGCGGCGATTGCACCGCCGTGCGACGTTTCATCCTATCCGTGTGTTCATAAATCTCCACCGGGGGACACCCCTATCCGTGCGTCTACAAATTGAAGCCACTCCGGGGTCGCCTCTGGTCTTTCTCGAGCCACCGTGACGTATGAAATTCGTACGCCGGATTCCCCGAAGGTCCGTCGATCTTTCGCAGAATTCGCTGGTTTTTCCGGCATCAAACATCCATTATCGATTCCTCCGTGTGCTGGTCCATGGATCGGTTAAGTGATTCTTTCCCGTGCCACCGGTTGGCCAGCGAATGAATCTTACATTGTACGTCCCGGCCAGGCAGACTCTATACATCATTCCGACTGGAAAACTGTACCCGATCTCCTTGGTTGTCCCTTCGCCATCCCCTATATATCCCTCCAGGACCAATTCACCGTGCCAAATGCTCGGGATGTCTCGGGCCGGCAAACCGATATGGAACCGTTTCAGGTTTATCGGAGGCAGCATATGCACCCAGAAAACATCTGGTCCGGTCGCGAGATATATCGTCCACGCAACCAGCGAACTCGATTCTAAAGGCTTTCACGCTCGTTGGCCTCCCTGCAACGAGAAACCATTCGTTTCCTTCGAGGCGTCACGAATTAACCGACACTTTGCCACCCACTAATTCTCTAGATCTCGATAGCTTGTCAAACGTTATTGACACTGAAACTCGTATCGATCTATCTTTTTCAAACGTTCGAGCTGTTTTAAGATTGCAATTCCGAACGAAGGGACGGTTCGTTGAGAGCGTCAGGCTAGAATAGTTCAACGAAATGTATTTTCTTTTTAGGAATTCACTCACGGTGGCCTTCGTTCCGCGAAATCGGCTCCCTTAGCCCGGAATCATCTCGGTTCAGCCGTTTTCCTTGGTCCGGGCAGCGGTTTCCACGCGCCGAAGTGGCCAAAGTTTTAATGGAAAGGACTTCGCGGGACCGCGCGATAAATTACGTCGACCGCGTTTAAGATAATTAGAGACGTTGTGTATCGCGCGGTCTTGTCCGCCCCCCATCGATCCTCCCTCGCCTTTGATTTCTTTCCCCTTGGTTTTCACGTTCGGATAATTAACAGGACTCGTTGCGAAAGTCTCGAGCTAAAATTTAATCGCTCGCCAGCTCGGATTAAAATTTTCTTCCACCCTCTCTCTTTCTCATATTTTCATCGTTGGCGAAAATAAACCAGCCCCGTAAAATCCTGCGGAATTCTTTTAATTAAACGCCGAATCGTACAAGTCGTAATAAAGCGCCAAGTCGAATTTTTACGATTCATAGAAAACCGGCGAACATTCGGCGGAGCCAATATTATGGCGGACGAAACTATGATACTTACGCAGTTCGGAGGAATTTTAGTCGCCCGAGTTAACAAACGGAAGAAACAGGCCCCGTGAATTTTCCATGAATGGGATACGACCATGCACACTGTCGAGGACCAAGAGCGAACCGCGACGCACGTCTGCAAAACCGGCCGCGCCACTTTTCTTTTATGAAAATTAATATTTCCATTCCCCCCCGATGCCACGGCCACGGAAAGTAAAACGGATATTAAGCGCGGTCAAGACGATAAAAAACGTATTAATTGCTTCCCTCCATCGAGGTCTGGTGTCCCCTCCCATGTTTGTAATTGCCACGCGTGTGGTCTTTAATTGGAGAAAAGTGCGGAGATACGGGAACGACGCACGGTGGTCCCGCGACTCGAATTTTTTAAAGGAACCTTGACACGGAACGAAGCAACGAAATCTGAATTGAGATCGATCGCGTTGTTGAACCTTGAAGTCTGAAACGAGCATTGGTTTTCTCGGGAAAGAAGAGAGCGTGGAACGAACTGGTCCCGACATAAATGAAAAGAAGTACGAGGGAGGAAGTCGTAGCCGGTGTGGCGGTAGGTCGGCGATTTCCTGAGGACGCGGCGGCCACCCGGTATGTGCTCGGGTACGTCCAGGCTAATTACCCGTACCGAGAACACATAATAATGCCAGCTAGCGGAGGGCTGGCCTGGAAAAAACTAGTACAAAGTATCCGTCGTGTCTCCGTGTCCACGGCGAGCTACTCGCCGGAGTCGTGAATGAGCTCGGTTCTTGTCCTCCTCTGACTAAATGCCAGCCCATGTCGGCCGCCATAGGCGTCGATCCCCTCGCATTGTTTACCTCCGTACCCCCTTCGCGATCCCTCCGTAGAATCTTCACCGTTCTCGAGATCCAAAGATCAATATATCGCCATCGGAGGCTGCCGTGTTCGCCTGGAAAATATCAGGTCGTTCCAAACAAAGTGTCCCCCTTTTTTCCTGTTCCTTGGATCCGACGTCGTTCCGAAATCCACGGCACGCGCGTCGAAAATACGCGTCGACGACTCGCGGCGCGATGATTCATAAAGCTTTGATCACGTTAATTGCGCGCCATCGGATGACCCTCAACGGGAGCAATTATAATGGCGCGCGTTTCGTTGCCGGGAATTAATTCGAACAGAGGCCGTAGCTCGATTGTTCGCCGCGGACACATTTAATTATTAATTATCTGGCATCGCGTCGATCGTTACACAATGATAATTAATAAAATAATTAATATTCAAGGAATATTACAACTCCAACGAACCGCGTGATTCGATAACGATACCACCGCGGGTCTAAAACCCTTTACAGCTCATCGACCGTTTTATCTATTTACTTTATTGAGTTACTATCGTCTCTCGATAGATAACACCCTGTCCATGGTTAAAAAAGAATTTAAATCACGGATGAGAATCGAAGACGCTAAACTGTCGGATGTCTAGACGTCCGATAGCATAAATCGGAACGAGCCACGACGACCGCATGCAAATCGCGCGTTGCGTGTCGCGCGTGCCGAAGGTTAAATCGCCAGGACCTGCTCGGACTGTCGATACACCGACGAAACGGACCGTTCTTCCGAGTTAAAAGAGTAGAAAGGAGGTAGAAGAGAAGTAGAAGAAGAAAATGGAGAATTTAAAAATTTAAAAATCGAAGATAAATGGTGTTACTACGAAAAAGAAGTAGAAAATAGACCGTTCTTCCGGCTCTGAGTTCTCCCGTTTCGCGCGAATCCCGCTTGGTCGGTTCGAATATAGTTCAACGGGTCGGTCCAATTAGCCTGATGTATATTAAAG